TTGGTTTGTAGCGGAAGCAATGCACGCAGTTTTTTACTGCCCTTGTCATGCCTCTCGAGCATTAATAAGCCATATTTGTTGCCTTAGAAGAGCAACCATGACTTTGGCACCTGCATGACTTTGGCAAAGCATGAATTTCGTGGCATCAGCAAAGGAAATTTTGTGTCGTACGGTAGCGAAGCGTTGAGCAATCGTCCGCCTACTCGCATAAGTTGCAAGTTAACTCCGTTTTTCTTGTACTGATGCAAGAACGGATTTAAACGCTGATATTTCGGCTGAAGCAGAAACTATAAAAGCTAGAATAACCAAAGTTGGCATCCAGATTCTCCTAGGTCCGAGTAAGGACGAGTTTATTTTATTTTTTTTAATTTTCCCCCCTTCCCCCGCTACAGAATTTCGTCAATAGCGTCCACATTTCAAACGCTACCTAAACCAAACTTTGCACTCATAATTTATATATAATTGTCTACTGTTGTTCAAAATTTTATTCAATTCGGTCAATTCTAAGAAAAGTTATTAGCGAAACAAATTCTCGCCAGTACAACCCCCACAAACTGCAGCAACAAGTTCGCTCTTCTTCTTCCTCTTTTTGCTGCTATGGGCGCATATAACTCAGTGACGGAAGTTTACCTGGGTACAGGGTATTACACTGTCGGGCTTGCTCGACTGTAGCGTTCTCTCTTGTTGATATAGTTATGTTGATTACATTACCCAAATTTGAAATCGATCGGACAAAATTTATAACACAAACTTGTAATGACGCGTTGCGTAGCGGGCAGCCGCGCGTCATTACGATGCCAAATAGTTGTAAGTTAATAAGTAATTGTAAGAATAGTAAGCCATGAAGGCGGGTAATTTTAAGTTCGTTTTAGTTAGTCTTTTCCTTGGTCTCGCCCAACACGCACTGAAGCGCGGGCAGTTTGTCATTTTGTTTGAGAATATAAATCACGTGGAGAAGTTTTGGCATACCGCCCTCTTTTATTTGTTCGACACCTCGGCACTTTGGGGTGCCTAATTTATTTCAGTATACTCTGGCCGGCGAGCATACCCGCGGCAGAGTAACAACGTTACAAGTGGCGCCCGAGCAGGGACCCCAAAGAAGTTTGAGGTTAGATCCGACCAAGTAGGGAAGAGAGCGTGGACCTACTATGCTACGAACGAGCTGGGTACGTGTACTGCGGAAGGAAGAGCTCAGCACGGTGCTGCGCGAGTTCGAAATCGACGAGACCGGCACCGTGGAGGCGTTGCGGGTGCGGCTGGCAACGTTCGTGAGGTCGGCCCAAGAAGCGTACCGACCCCGCCTGGAAGAACTAGCGGCATATTACGAAAACATGTCGTCGCGTACCGCGGCGACAGGTCAGTTGAGCCCGGTGCCCGGCGGACGGCTGGGAGTCCCGAAACAAGAGGACGTATCGGAGGGGCTGCTCGTCGTGACAGAGGCAAACACGACACCGCTAACTCCTGCGACAGTGCCGACCATTTCGGTAGCGGTCGCGGCCTCGCCGGGAGTTACCACAACCGAGCCCACGACAGCCTCAGCGACGCCAACAGTGGCTCCAGTGCTCTCAACGGCGGACCTGACACAAGCGATTGCCGAGTTGGCTCAGTACACCCACCGGTTGGCCCAGGCTATGGAGGATGGTTTCCAGAAGCTGTCGAGCCAGGTCTGCGGTTCCACCGCGCCTGCTGGTAATGCGCCTGACCCAACAGCACCGACTCCAGCGTCACCGCTCGCAAGCGCGCAGGCGGTGGCAGAACCACAGGCGCCAACATCAGCCGAACGAGACAGACGAGCCGCACTGTCAAACTCTCAACGGCTCTACTGTTGGGACTGTGGTAAGATGGGTGTGTGCGAACGAATGCTGCCGACGCGCGACGGGAAACGCCAGAGGGGCTCGTCCCACATTAACAGTCGGCGAGCCCACGCAGGCAAATTCCAATTAACAACGACACGCAGGGTAGCGGCCGCGCTACCAGTAGACTGTGATGGTGTACTGGTAGAGGCGGTCGTGGACACCGGAGCGACACGCAGCTTCGCGAGTCCGAGGCTGGCGCAACGCCTGCGGGCGCCAGATGGAGAAAATGTACGGTCCGTGAGCGTGACTGTGTCCATGGCTGACGGGACACAGAAGACGGTCCGTGAAGAAACGAAGGCGACGGTCACGGTGGGCGACAGTCGCGTAGTACTGCCGCTGCTCACACTCCCCGGATGCATAGATGAGCTCACATTGGGACTGGATTATGTCCAAATGGCCAACGGGGCGGTGACTGTGGGCGGCCAAACTGTAGAATTGCGAACGAACGATCCACGGCCACGCAGACGGCGGAGGCGAAATCGCAGAGCCCGACATGCAGCCTTGGTGACAAGCGAACAGGCGGGGCTCACTATTGCCGCCCACCTAACGGAGCAGCAGACCCAGATGGCCGCCAGGTTCATCGAGGGGGAACTGGCAAGCTTTGAGAGCATCACAGGAGTCTCGTCGGCGGCGGTGCACACAATCCGGATGAAAGACGAGCGTCCCATCAAACAGCGGTACTAGCCCCGGAATCCGGCCATGCAGGCAGTGATCAATGAAGAAGTCGACGAATTGCTGGCAAAGGGCTGCATCGAGCAATCCGACAGTGCTCAGAACCAGATGCGTACCAAATTTTGCGGATCCAGCACACTTTGGAGCAGCTGCGCCAGGCCAAATACATAAGTAGCATCGATTTGCGGAATGGGTACTGGCAGGTTCCGATGGAGCGCGAAAGCCAGCGATATACAGCGTTCACGGTGCCAGGACGCGTGCTGTTCCAGTGGCGTGTGATGCCGTTCGGCCTGCATTCTTCGCCCGCAACATTCCAGAGGGCGTTGGACAGCGTCATCGGCCCGGACATGGCACCGCACGCGCTTGCATACCTCGACGACATAGTGGTGGTCGGCAGGACGTTCGGTGTTCCGGCGACTGCGAGCGGCCAATCTGCGAATAAATCGAGATAAGTGCGAATTCTTTCGTAAATGCATTAGGTACCTGGGGCACCTGGTGACAGAAGACGGGATACAGACGGATCCAGAAAAGGTGGCAGCCATACGTGAACTGAAGCTCCCGGCCAACCTAAAACAGCTGCGGCAGTACATCGGGATGGCCTCGTGGTACCGCCGCTTTGTACCCAATTTCGCCACAACGGTAGGCCCACTCACCGAGCTGTTAAAGAAAGGCCACAAGTGAAGTTGGGGAACACCGCAGCAGGAGGCATTTGATTGTATCCAAAGACAGCTCATGGAAGCGCCGGTGTTAGCGTGCCCCGATTTCACACAACGCTTCTGCCTACAGACTGACGCCAACGAGTGTGGGCTGGGCGCGGTTCTGACGCAAGACATAGACGGCCACGAACACGTAATTTCCTACGCCAGTAGGAAGCTGCAGAAAGCGGAGGTCAACTACAGCGCCACGGAGAAGGAGTGCCTCGCAATTGTTTGGGGAATCCGAAAGCTGCGACACTATTTGGAAGGCTACCATTTCACTGTCGTGACCGATCACTTGGCGTTGCGATGGCTTAACTCAATTGAGAGCCCCACCGGCTGCATCGTACGCTGGGCTTTGGAGCTGCAGCAGTACACCTTCGATGTCCAGTACCGAAAAGGAGCCTTGAATGTGGTGGCCGACGCACTGTCACGACAACTACGCGAGGTGATCGGCCGTGCGCACGTGGAGTCAGAGGCAGCACCAATTTGTAAATGGTTACAGCGGCTGACGGCAGCGGTGTTGGAGAGTCCCAGCAAGTACCCAGATTACGCCATACAGAACGACAGGCTGTACCGCCGCATCGCCCACGTGCTAGGAGAAGATGAGGTGTCTCCATGGAGGCTATGCGTGGCCGCGCCTCTACGACAGGAGGTGCTGAGGGAATGCCCCGACGACGCAACGGCGGGCCATATGGGAGTACGCCGAACCTGTGCACGCGTTCCAGACCGATACCACTGGCCTGGTCTGTATCGCGACGTAGCGAAGTATGTGCACCAGTGCCTGTTGTGCCAACGTTATAAGGCCCAGCAACAGCTGACGGCAGGCAAGATGCACTTCAAACCAGCGGAGGCAGCGTGGGACGTCGTCTGCGCCGATTTTGTGGGGCCGCTGCCGCGGTCCAAACGAGGCAACGCGTATCTACTGGTCCTGGTCGATAAGTTCAGTAAATGGGCAGAACTGGTCCCCATCCGCAAGGCGACGGCAGCGGCAGTGAAGCTGGCCTTGCGAGAGCGGATTCTGGCACGGTTTGGCACACCAAGAAAGCTCATTACAGACAATGGAGCCCAGTTTACGAGCCGCGCGCTGAAGCAGTTCCTCGCCGAGGCAGGCATACAGCAACAACTGACGGCACCATACACACCTCAGGAGAATCCCACGGAGCGGTCCAATAGAACGGTCAAAACATTGATTGCTCAGCTGGCGGACGGGCAGCACAACACGTGGGACGAACAACTGCCGGAAGCACAATTGGCCATTAATACAGCGATTTCAGACGCAACGGGCTACCGACCGGCTTTCATCCTATTTGGGAGAGAACCACGGCATCCACACACACTGTACGGCAGGGATCCTGACGCCCCTGAGGCAGCACCAGGTAGCCCCGAAACACACGCGACGCTGCTACAGTTTGTTGCCCGTATAGCAAGAAGAAACCAAGGGGTGGCCAGCGAGGATCAGGCACGCCAGTACAATCTGCGGAGACGCGAGTGGCGACCCAAACTGGGCGACGAGGTGCTCGTGCGACAGCATCACCTGTCCAACGCAGCCGAGCAGTTTGCGGCCAAGCTGGCGCCTCGCTTCGATGGACCATTCACGGTGCGAGCATTTATATCCCCAGTCATAGTGCGTGTACAACCAGTGGCGGGCGGCAGAGGTAGAACGGCACATGTGCGGGATCTAAAAGCGGTGAATGCGGTGAAGACAGCGAAGCCGACGAAGGCAGCGACGACAGAGGCAGCGTTAGTATGGTCACCAGGACCACGCCACCGACAGCTTCACAGCAGCCACAGCAGTCCATTGCTCAGCGACCACAACAGCAACCACAACACCAATCTCTGCAGCCACAGCGGCAGTCCGGGCAACTAAATCGGCCATGTCAACGAACACGACGACAGCAGCCGCGGTCGCAACAGCCGCACGACAGCCAAGACAGCAGTTACAGCAGCCAGGGCCCTAGCGGCCACACCGACAGCAACAACAGCAATGCAACTGGCGTCCACTCAAGCGGGAGCGGCAAAGTGGCCGTTCTGGCCGAAGAGGACACCCATGTAAGCCTAAGACATAATTAGACAAAACTTGTTGTTACGTTTCAGGCCTGATGAAGCGACATACATTACCACACCACTCGAGATACCCAAACCGCGCCAAATATGCCAGGGGCACCGCGGATGGACAAGGACCGGGCGGGCAGCTGGACAAACACGACGAAAAGGAGGTTAGGCACAACGCAGAAAATAGCCCAGGACCGGAAGCCAAGCACAACATAAACATGTGGGCGGTGATGTCGAGTTGCCAGAGCGACAGGTGGCCGTCGATAACGAGTTATCGTGGAGATGCGATAAGTGGCAGCACCGGCCACTATCGCTGCGAGTGGTAACACCGACGATAGACCGCCGGGCATGGGTAGCACTGGCAAACCGCGAGAGGTGGCAGCGCTAACTAAACAGCTGTCACAACAAGATTACACGAGGAGACCGGCGCGTCGAAAAAAAAATTTAAGAAGCAAAAAAAATATCACCGACGCCGGCAGGCAACCGACGTCGCCGCCGTGGGCACCGCGGGGGCCGTCGAGTGAGAGAGCGACGCCAACGGATACAGCAGGCGCGGCTGGAGGTGCAGCAGCAAGAGCAACGCCAACGGGCACAACAGGCGCGGCTGGAGGAGCAGCAGCGCGATGAGAGGCTGCGGCGTGGGGAGCAGCGACAACGCGAGCGGCGCGAGGAGCAGCAGCGGGTGGAAGGGGCCATACGAGACGTGGAGGCGCGTCTGACATACTCCTGATGCCTGCAGGAGCTGCAATGGCTGCATGCAGTGGGGCCGCAGGTGGCACAGCCGCAGGTCCCCTGGCCAGTGTTTATGGCGTGGGGCAGAGAGCCCGATGGCACAGCGAGCGAGCAGCCGATGGTAGTGCTGGAGAGGTGCGGCGGCTCCACAAAGCCCCTTGCTTGGCGATGTTTTCACCGGCGGAGGCGCATGGCTTGCGGCGGATGGCCGAGGAAGGAAGGCTTCCGATGGTGGCGTTGGCAGCCACCCCCCTCGACCGGATCGTGTTCCGCTCAGGAAGGAGGAACGTGCCCCGCTCAGGAAGGGGGACGTGTAATGACGCGTTATTTTAAGTTGGTGGTGAAAATTCTTGGCATACCGCCCTTTTATTTTGCACATATTTGGTGGACACCTCGGCAATTTGGGGTGCCTAATTTATTTCAGCATACTCTGGCCGGCGAGCATACCCGCGGCAGAGTAACAACGTTACAACGGATGCAGTCCACCGATAGCCCAGGAATTCGTACACGGTGCAGGAACTTGTATACATATGCAAACACGCGCTGCAGCTTTCCAAATGTGTTAACATATTTGCATTGCTGTGCAATGTCTTCGCACAGTGTGGTGCTTACAAACACTTTAGAGCGCTGCTCAGGAAGCGACGAGACGGAATCGCAAGACTCTGGCCAAGAAGATTTATCTTTCGTCAGAAATGCGGGACCATGTAGCCACAAGTTGGACTGGACTAATTCGCTGGGCAAAGCTCCACGTGAATGTATGTCCGCAGGATTCAAATCGGTTGGAATATATCGCCATTCCATGCCAGAGGTCAACTCTTGAATAGTTGCGATGCGATTGGAAACGAAAATTTGAAACCTGGATGGCTCGCTGCGAATCCAAGATAGCGCTACTGCAGAATCAGACCAACAATAAAACTTGCAGTCGAATAACTCCATGGGAGATATTTCGTTTATGAGTTGTGCCAGCAAAACGGCTCCGCACAACTCTAGTCGGGGCACGGTCAACGATTTGAGCGGCGCCACACGAGATCTGGAACACAGCAGCTCCGCACGAGATTGGCCTTGCGTGGTCGAAATGATGTAGACGCAAGCTCCATAGGCATCTATGCTGGCATCACTAAAACCATGCACTTCAATGGAAACACCAGGAGAAAGTGCAAGCCTTGGAAATTTCAGCTGCTTTGTGCGCTCAAAATCTGCAATAAGATTATGCCAAGATGTTGTCAATGATACTGAAAGGCTTTCATCCCAATCAAGCTTTTCTCTCCAAAGCGCCTGCAGGAATATTTTAGCCTTTGCGATTACTGGTCCAATAAGGCCAAGCGGATCATAAAATCTGGCAATAGTTGACAAAACAGTGCGCTTGCAAATTCGACCAGATGTCAATGCTGGCAGAAACGTGAAAATGAATAAATCCGTCGTAGGATCCCACGACAGTCCTAGAGTTTTTGTTATGTCGCTGCCATCATCAAACTTAACTAGAATTTCTTTGTCTTCTTCCGGAACTTGTTTGAGCACATCAGGATTGCTGGAGCACCACTTCCTTAGCTTGAAATTAGCCTTGGCAAGTAGCCCTGTGGTTTGTCTCATAATTTCTATGACTTCGTTTATAGAATCACCACCAGTGATTAAATCATCAACATAAAAATCGCGACGCAAGATATCGGAGCCAATAGGAAATAGCTCATGCTCATCTTCAGCCAGCTGATGCATAGTGCGAACGGAGAGAAACGAGGCAGGCTTTGTACCGTAAGTGACGGTATCAAGACGGAAAACTTGAATATGCTTTTGAGGCGTGTCACGCCAGCTATTTGGATTTGATACTCGCACGCAGCGGTACATCTTGCAGATTTCTCCTGTTAAAGCGATAGGAAACGTGCGAAATCGAACAAGCGTGTTTGCGAGCTTTGACTGAATGGAAGGACCGGCCACTAGGATGTCATTTAAAGAATGACCAGAGGATGTGGATGCGGAACCGTCAAACAAGACTCTCAACTTTGTCGTTGTGCTGTCCTCCTTCAGAACGCAATGGTGCGGAAGGAAATTTATACTTGAACAAATTTAGCGAAACTGGCGATACAAGCGACATATGACCCAACTCTAAATACTCCTTAATGAATGCCGAGTACTGTGCTTTGAGAAGTGGATTGCGTTCTAACTTTCGCTCCAAGTTTATGAACCGACGATAGGCTTGCGTATAGGAATCGCCAAGCAGATCTGTGCTGAGCTTTACAGGCAATCGGACGGAATACTCGCCAGTACGCAGGCGCCTGTAATTAGCCTTGAAATGCTCCTCGCAGTCGAACTCTTCTTTTGTAAGTTTTACAGCCAGATCGACACCACTTTCGAGTTCCCAAAAAGAGCGAACCATCTGCTCGATTCGTGTATTGCAATCCTGTGTAGACGGAGACTTGGATGCAACCAAAGCAGATTTCTGACGCTGCGAGCCACCTCCAGTAACTATCCAGCCCAAACGAGTCTTTTGCAGAAGTGGCAGGCCATCAGCCAGTTTAATCTGACCTACGCACAACAACTCGTAGAATAAATTGGCACCGATAAGCATATCAATTTGCTGTGGCTTGAAGAACGCCGGATCAGCTAAGCGGACATTGCTTGGTATATCCCAATGAGATATGTCAACCGTGAAATTTGGTTGGTTCTCAGTAATGGAAGGAGCGACCAAAGCAGTAATATTTGCGGAATAGTCAGTGACCAATGATTGCAAGCATAAGTGCACAGTGCAACCATCAGACTTGAAACTAACGTCACCAAGACCAGACACAGAGGCCGACGACTTGGTCTTTCGAAGTTGGAGTCGGTGAGCGAATCGCGAAGTTATAATGTGCAACTGTGATCCGGAATCGAGCAGTGCACGGCAGGGTACCCAAGTCCCGGCGCGATTTTGAATGCTGATGACAGCGGTGGCCAAGAGCACAACATCTGAGGCGAGATTTTGGGCAGGCAATGAAGCAAGCGATGATGGCGAAACAGCTGCGAGAGCGCTACGTAGCAGTAACAATGAAGACGGCCGCGAGTGTAAGTCAGAAGCGGACGATTGCTCAGGCATCAAATTTACGGCAGCTGAATTATTAAAATGCAATAAACTGTGAAGTTTGTCACCACAGGTTCTGCACGATCCAGAATTGCAAGTTCTCATTCTGTGTCCTTTTCTAAGACAATTTATACACAGAGAGAGGCGTTTCGCTTCCTTTAAACGAAGTACAGGCGACAAATTACCAAAAAGTGGGCAACTGTATATTTCGTGTGCATTATTGTCACAAAACAGACAACCATTTGCGGATGGGCTAGTGGTGACAAACGAGCGTTTGGTGTTAGTGTTTTTATTCTTTCCCACCTGATAATTCGACGAATATGATGCCTATGCATGCTCGATGTTTTCCACTTTTTGGCACCTGCTATCCAAGAACATCGCAAATTGCTCCCATGACGGTATAACGTTTAATGGGGCGGCTTCCTCCCACTTTGCCTGCGTCGCAGCATCCACCTTGCCCAAAATGGTCTGAACGACGATGCTGCCAGCTACATCTTGCATATTGCCCAAGCTCAACAGTGCACGCATATTTGCGTTGACTTTGTCGGACAACTCTCGCAGCTTGCTTGTAGTTTCAGCCTTTTTAATGCCCAAAATCTCGGAGATGTGTGCCTGGAAAATAAGACGCTTATTGTTAAACCGCTTGTCGAGTAGGTCTAACGCCACTGAATAATTTGCACCACTTATCTCAAGCGCACGAATCGTGTCCAACGCAGATCCTCTTAAGCTTGACCTCAAATGCTGCAACTTTTCCACATCGGAGAGATCTGGATCCTTGGCGATCACTGATGTGAACATCGAAGCGAAATCTGCATATTCAGTATATCCACCACTGAATGTAGGCAACTTAAGCTCAGGCAACCGAGACCGATTTATCACAATGGTAGACTGATCATCTTGCCGAAGCGTCGAACACGGCGGCGCGCCAGATTGCATCCTTTGTATTGCATTTAGCAGGCGGCCCTCCAAGCAGACCACCAGCTCAGCAAAGTTTCAGCGCAAACTGCTGCCAATCTCATCAAAGTCCAGCTCCTCTAATTTGTCATGCACCAAATTAAAAGAGGATTGAATACTTTGCAGCATTTCCACACGTTTTCGCAGCCCACTTTCTGAAATATTGTCAATTTCACAATCATTTATTTTATTTTTAATAGAAAGCGCCCACGCATATAATGATTGCGCCTTGCGCTTATAAAACTCAACACTATTGCTTGTAGCCTGCACTGCATTGCCCACAGCTGTTGACGTCGAATCTGTTGGCGCAAGCGTCGCTGCATGAGCTACGTCAGCAGCAGCTGATGCGACAGCTTGGAAGGCGCGCATTTGACCGTCGCTCTCAGACATTATGAACGCGAGAGAGAACCGAAAACCGAAAATAGCAGAGATAAATGACGCGCGCGAATGACTGTTTTATCTGCTGATGTTCGTTGCCCTCAAAAACGTCGCTTCACACGGCTGCTTATTGGCGGTACAATAGGCACTATGAACTTATACTTTTGCACTTATGTACTTGAATATTTTTTGTGTGCAATGAACTCAATTATGTACGCTTTTGTTTTTTAACGCGATTAAGCAAGGTTTTGTGGAATTATTAATCACGTCGGGGTCACCAACTGACAACTCTTTGTTAAGGTCCTTGTATAAAATCCTGTTTCGAACAAAATAATCTTCTGTAACGTTGTTACTCTGCCGCGGGTATGCTCGCCGGCCAGAGTATGCTGTAATAAATTAGTAAATTAGGCACCCCAAAGTGCCGAGGTGTCCAACGAAATAAAAGAGGGCGGTATGCCAAAATTCCTCCACGTGTTTTATATTCTCAAACAAAATGACAAACTGCCCGCGCTTCAGTGCGTGTTGGGCGAAAGCAAAGAACAAACTAAAACTACTTAAAATTACTTGCCTTCATGGCTTCTTAGTCTCTACTCGTTCTTACGACTACTCGTAAT